AGAGAGATGAAACGGATGTAAACTGGAGGAGGATAAAACTTACGAATGGTGGAGGCTGCAATCTGAAATTGTGCAGTCTGGACGATGCCAGGAGAACTCGGGACGGGTTTGTGCAGCAAACTGGAGGATGAGATTCACGCAAAGCAAGAGCTCAGTTTGAAAGGGTCACATAGCTCAAATGAAGGCAGTCAGTCTAGTCTGACCACCCAGTCACAACCCACTCAAAGAGCAAGGACACCAAAACTCTCTAAACTCTCTCTCGCAGTCTTGTGAAGGTTCACGAGTTGGAGCCCGGACAAACAGCATGGTGGCTGTATTCCGCCAGTTCTTGGTCGTGGAGGCGGGATAGGACATAAGTGATGTGTTTCCTCTCTAAGGCAGACAGCTCTGCCAGTAACGAGTTCTCTGAGACACATGGTGCCAGTTGTATGGAGACGGAGAACAAGGGGGGGGGGGGGGGGGGGGGGAGTGTTTTAAAAGAAAGTGGATCGGTGCCTAACACACCACCCCCCCCAAAAGGGGGGGGGGGGGGGTTGGTGGGGGGGGGGGGGGGTGGGGGGGGGGGGGGGGGGTTGGGGGTGGGGTGGGGTGGGGGGCGTGTGGGTGTGGGGGGTGGGGGGGGGGGGTGGGTGGGGGGGGGGGTTGGGGGGGTGGGGGTGGGGTGGGGGGGTGGGGGCGGGGGGGGGGGGGGGGGGGGGGGGGGTTGGGGGTCGGGGGGGGGTGGGTGGGGGTGGTGGGGGGGGGGTGGGGGGGGTGGGGGGGGGGGGTGGGGGGGGGGGGGTGGGGGGGGGGGGTGTGGGGGGGGTGGGGGGGGGGGGGGGGGGGGGTTGGGGGGGGGGGGGTGGGGGGGGGGGGCGGGGGGGGGTGGGGGGTGGGGGGGGGGGGGGGTGGGGGGGGGGTGGGGGGGGTGGGGGGGGGGGGGGGGGGGGGGGGTGGGTGTGGGGGGGGTGGGGGGGGGGGGGGGGATGGGGGGGGTGGGGTGGGGGGGGGGTGGGGGTGGGCGTGGGGGGGTGGGGGGTGGGGGGGTGGGGGTGTGGGGGGGGGGGGGGGTGGGGGGGGGGGGTGGTGGGGGGGGGGGGTGGGGGGGGGGGGGGGGGGGGGGGGGGGTGGGGGGGGGGGGAGGGGGGGGGGCGGGGGGGGGTGGGGGGGCGGGGGGTGGGGTGGGGGGGGGGGGGGGGTTGGGTGGTGGGTGGGGGGGGGGGGGGGGGGGGGGGTGGGGGGGGGGGGGGGGGGGGAAAAAAACAACCCAAAAAAAAAAAAAAAACAAAACAACAAAAAACAAAAAAAAAAAAAAAACCCCCCACCCCCCCCCCCAAATATTGAAATTTAGAGTTTGCATCCACCTATATGGAAGTATATGAACGTATGGTTACCACTTTAGCCAAAAAAGAGAGGCTAATACATAAAATTCTAAAGGCATTGTCCAGATTCAGTGGGTGGTTCAACGTTTGGCTCTAAGCAATGCACACAATCTATACTGTTGACCAGCCAATGTCAACTGCCGCAGTTTTTAAACAGTGCTTTGCAATTCCTTAAATGAGACCATGTTATTCCTAACACCGAATTCAATTTCACATAGGCCCAGAACACAAAATTGGTATAGCTACAATGATTATAGGTTTCGATACTTATACCGGATTGCGATCGTATTTCATGCAAAGTTGGCCCAAAGGGTTGCTGCGGCCCATTTGTATATCCCGGAAAGCGTATAGTTATAATGAAAATATGCAATGGATGAACTTTATTTTCGACTGTGAGAGGGAAAGCGATCGCGGAGGAGAAAAGAAGAAAGTACGGGAGGAGAACGAGGGAGACTGACGCGGAGACGCTAAGGATGATGGTCTTCAGAAGACAGAAAGACCAGCGGACAGCGAGGGGGCGCGCAATAGTTCTACCAGCGACAGCGTCGGGGACTAGCCATGATCTTCTTCTTGCAGTGCAAGGGCCTGGAGTTCTGCGAATAGTGCGAAATGCGCTACATCTGCGAATGCGTGCCGAGCTCGAAAAAATGGAGCGTAGAGGTGCGTTGCTAGTGTTCGAGGGTGTGACAGATAGTCGGCAAGTCCACGAGGCAGAGACTTGGGAAGCTATGAAGCCGTCCGAAGGCAGGCCGAGAGGCCTAGCTTCCCCAGTAAGTCACTTGTTTTTGTTGTTAGAGAATGTTCCCACGCTGTTGTTGCGCGCAGACCGAGATACGGCCATCGGAAAGCTGATCAATAATTATCTAAACAAGAAAAATCGACCTAGATACCACTCTATTCATCTTCGTTTCGCCGCCAATAGAGGAGATGGTTGTAGGTTTGCTGTAGGCAAGGGGGGGTTCTATACCTTTTGCGCATGGCAGTTAGGCCGGCACGCGCTCGCTACAGCCCCAGATGGAAAAGTTACTAAAGTCGGGGACCATCATTAGGTGGACGATACGCCTTCTTGGGAGTTGCCCTAATGCAGAAAAAAAGGTTAAAAAGCTCAGTAATTTGAATTTAGTTTAGTAGAACTTTGTTTTTTTCCCATCTGACAGGAATGGCGGAGTGATGGGCAACGTGGCAGATATGTCTCCCAACCCCAGCGTTGGGTTCTATCTCTCGCCTCACCAGAGGCGCCAGCAGAAGGAGCATTGTACGGAACGAGCGATCCGAAAAGGCGAGTTCCAAGCGGAAGCGAGCGGGCAGTTTCCAAGCGATGCATTGAACGACGAAAGTTGCGGAGACGGATTACGCTTCTAGATCAGTGGACAGTATACACAGAGACTCTTTCGGGTCTGGAAAACTTCTCTCAGAGCTATTGAAGAGAATCTCATTAAAGGACATCTGCCTTTGGAAGATGAGAAAAACTAACGCTTGACACGGATGATCCAATTCTGTGCTGCAGTTGTTCAGATAAAAAATTTGTTGATGATCTTATCAAATTTCTTGTGGGCACGACATGGTCGTAAGCGCGTTTGTTGGATCATAGTTGTATGTTACAGACATGTATTGATCTGAGTATACTATTATTATGATGCAGGATGAATGAATGTAGCACTGAGAGGTTTAGGAGGAACCGAGACTGCATGTAGTTGGGGGAAGAACGTGGTGTTCAGCGAAGATGATGTCCGGAGGGAGAGAGTGGGTAACGGGCAACCTGGAGCGGTTGTAGGTAAACTCCCCACTTTGGAGTCCTGTGTAGGGTGAACATATGACCTGCACAAGAGAAAGTTGTTGCTTAGACTCATCTAGGACACCATATGTATATACACTGATGAGTGGAACCAAGTATATATACGCCTTTTTCAGAGGTGACATGTAATTTCCATATTCATCTGAGTGTCTGTCAGGAGATATGGGGACCACGGGCAACTCTATTACATGAATTAATTGTTTGCAAGGTGTCTCTTATGTAGGCATTTATGTATTACCTATACAATCTAGGATTGTACAGAGATGCTGCTGTATGTATAATATATACCAGCAAGCGATCCATCTGAGACTGTTTAACAGTGGAAGATGGTGGAGTCTGAGCCCCTACACACACTGACTGATTGACAGACCGACAACCCACTCAGGAACTCTAAACACAATGCTGCTGGTCACGTGACCGTCACTGACATGTACGTGCTGTCTGCTGCATAGCTACAGAAAATTCAAGGTCTGACACTATTAGAATAGTTTCTGCTCACCAGCTCAGTTCAGTTGGCTAGCTTGTTCTCTCTGCATACACTTCAGTTGTCCTGATCCTCGGCTAACTGAGACTGCGCGCAGGTGAGCTCTTCTCGAAGGACTGGCAATCTCGTTCCTGCCCTCTCTTGGAGCTCGGTTATTGACCGCTAACAGCTCGTTCTGACCAGCCTCCAGCTCGCTCTTGACCGCCTCCGAGCTCATTCTTCGACCGCCTGCAGCTCGCTCTCGCTCTCGCGAATCTCTCCTGTAGCCCGAATTGCAGTAGGCACTGCTGGCTGTGAGAGGTTTGGATCATCGAAGGACCGTGAGCACAATGCAATAGACACATGACGCTATATAAAGGTGGCGAGGAAGAGAAAATTATTCTCACCTTCTTCTCATTCTCTCCTCTTTCTCTTTATATCTTCTTCCTTGTTTCTTTCATCTCTTCCTTTTGATAATTTTTCCTCGCTCTGGCTTTAGCGCGGCGAGTACCTCTGTGTTCAGATCGCTCAGGACGTGCGCAGCAGGACTCGTACTCGCCTGGTAGTCCATAATGATAGCAAAACTAGAGAACCCGGCCGCGTATAGATCGATCTCCAGGTTTTTTGAAGGTGTGTGTTATATGCGCATGCGCAAATCTCCGTGTGAGCTTCACGTGCGTAGCAACTGACTGTCACGTGACCCTTTAAGTAGTCGCAGCGCTGCTTTTTCGTTGGCTGATGGCTCAGGACGGCGGCCTGGACATAGACGAAGATCTGTTCGTAGACGCTCTCCCAGACTATCTAAAGTGTCCGATCTGCCTGTGTGTCCTCCAGTCGCCGTTCCAGACTCCGTGCGGACACCGTTTCTGCAGAGACTGCATACAACCCGTCCTCAAGACCCGAAATAACGTCTGCCCGAAAGATCGCACCGTCATAAGACGCTACCAACACGTTTCGACAATGCGGCGAGGCTCCAGATAAACTCTCTGAGGATCAAGTGTCCGAAACACGCGTCCGGATGCGTGTGGGTGGGCGAGTTATCGGACGAGGCCGGACACGAGCAGTCGTGCGAATATTTCCACGTCCTGTGCAAGCTCTGCGGTGATCTTTTCCCGAGAGTCGGACTCTCGTCTCACGAGCCGACGTGTCCTAAACGCCAGCTACCTTGCGAGTATTGCGGGCTGGAGTTCCGTCTCTCCGACCTTTCCCCGCACTACACGACGTGCCCCGAGTACCCCGTCCTTTGCCGCAACAAGTGTTCCGCGGGAAAAGTCCCACGCAAAGACGAGGAATCCCACTACACCAACGAGTGCTCGAAGGAACTCGTCGAATGCAAGTTGGCTGCGTTCGGAATGCTCCGAAACGAGTTCCGCGAAGCGAAATGGGTGATCACCTGGTCACGTGCGCCCCACAACGAACCCTAAGCCTCGCAAATACCGTCCTGAAGCTGCAAAAGGACGTCCAGGAGCTCTCTCTGGCTCTTGCACAGCAGAAGGAGCAGCAGAAGACAGTAACCAACACCCTCTACCCCTGTGTCGGACAGTTCACCTGGAAACTGGAAGACGTTCGGCTCAAAGTGAAGCAAGCACAAGCCAGGGAGTCCCCCGAGCCAGTCATGATATACAGCCCTCCTTTCTTCTCCCACGAAGGCGGCTTACAAGATGTGCCTCTGTGTGTACCCTGCAGGAGACAGTAATCTAGATTGCCTCTCTCTGTTTACTTTGTCATCATGAAGGGGCCCTACGACAAAATCCTCCCGTGGCCGTTTCAGAAAGCGATTAGGGATCACTCTCCTTAGCTGCCGAGAAGGTCCGGGGATTGTCAAGGACATAAATCCGGACCCCAAGTTGCACTATTTCCACCGACCGAGAAACCAAAGAACGTCGGTTACGGCTACCCCAAATTTATATCCCTCCAGAAACTTCTGTCTGATCGCTCCGAGTATTTGGACGGCGATTCCGTGTTCATGCCGCTGCGAAATTTTTCATTCTTAGCATATTTTTGGTTTTGTAGAGCTGCCCCATCCCCGAGCCCACCACCACATTTTATGCGCGTACGGCTGCGCAGCAGACGAAGGTAGCTAGCTAGCTAGCGAGCTAGAGAGCTGCAAATGCAACGAAGTGTCACGCTAACTAGTCTCCGCAGCCACACGGCCGTCGCGTCGGGATATCTGCACAAGCTGGCGCACAACGGGACGCGTTCGCCTGTTGGCACCAGCGATACTACGTTCTCTACAAGCGACGGTCTCCTGCGCAGCTTCAAGAGCTCGCGCGGCCAGAAACAAGTCCACGCGTCATCCACGTCGGTCGCAAGTGTCTTCGCGTCCGATTCGGAGCCGATACGAGGAGCGACGAGTGCAGTCACTGGCCGAAAAACTGTCCGCGTGCACTATGTTTCTCTGTCATCAACATTGACCGGGAGTACCACTTCTATTGCGAGTCGGAGCGAGAGTTTGCAGTTTGGCGCGACAGTCTCCAGCAAACCCTCGCGAAACTGGGTTCGGCTCACTCGAGCTACGTCGAGAGACGCAGCACAGCCGTATCCCGTCGACGACGATGACGATCTGTCCGTCGCGCCACTCAGACTGCACCGAGAAATATAGAGCAACGAACTGCGGCCGAGAAGAGAAAGAAGAGAGCGAGAGAAGACAGAGCAGACCCAGAAGAGGACAAGACAAAGGAAACGGTGTGTAGGTGATGCATACGATGCGGTAGATCCCGCCAGTTTTCTTACCGACGCTTAGACGAACACAAGAAGAAACAAATAACGCGCCACAGTCATACAAAGTTGGAGTCAAAAGATGATGATTATTGGGAAGATGTCGTAAGTGCGAAAGAGGCCAAGGAAGAAGAAAGTCTTGAGCAAGTCGGCGATCATGAGGGGAAACGTGTTTGTCACCTCTAACTATACACATAATGTGCAGAGTGAAGAGTCAAGGAAAGAAAGGTTTCTGGAAGAAAAAACACTAGCAACTACCACAGCAACTAATGGGATTGAAGCTGCATTTTTAGAAGTTCAGGGATCATTGATAAAACCTTTACATGATATGTGTGATCCATTCTCAGCATTTACTATGTCGTCATTGCCTGCAGGACCGTGATATATAAAAGCAATTCTACGATAATAAATTTCATTATACCAAATTAGTTTTAGACTTCCGGTCTACCGCTAGACCACAATAAATACAATTTCAGAGTTAACATTCGGTCTCTGTTGAAAACTCACTGCGTGAAGAAATGTCTCAATCTGCTGGCCACAAGACGTCTGATTCCTGTACCACGTAAAAAGAACGTCAGGAGATTCAGTTCTCGTAGTAGGTCCAGTACAGGCCTCGTCTGATGACTGGAGTTGTAGTGTTGAGAGTCTCTCATCTCACGAGTGTCTGGATGATCATCAGGTCTGTCGATCAGAGACAGCTCGTAGTGTACGTCACAAACGAGCAACACTCTTCGGAGGCCTTTAATATACTCGTCGTGATACACACGACGCTGAAGGGAGGTGTAACCCGGCGCCCTTTAATAGCCTGTCGATGATCGTGAACCGCGAACATCCCGATTGATACAGTCGTCAACTCCACGTTTTCAGACAGGCTTGGCTTGTAGGACGGAAGCGTTTGCGAGGAAACCCGTCCAAGAGCCCCCGTAGCTCAGAGACCCAGAGATTGAGTCCAGGATGAGAGAGACCATGGTTTGGTCTGCGGACCAGGAGACCTCCGAGGTTGTGTACGCCGTGGCCCTCGCTATGTGGGATGCCTGGGAGCTGTGGACGTACGGAGGAGCGTCGCACGCCGCGAGAGTGGGACGGCGGCAGCTTGATGCCGATGCAATTCTTGATGATATTGCTGTTCGCTTTCTCCTGCCCCTGGTGGGCCCATGCCATTGATAATGACTCGAAGAACTCTGCATGCTCATGCGTATGATTTGATAGCTCCTCAGATGTTCTAAAGGTCGAGTGCGTTGGGTTCTAAATAACGAAGGACTTCGATGTTACTTTCTGTGACACACTCGTGCGCATGCGCGAGGACGCGACGACTGTTTGCTAGCTGACCAACATCACCGACTCTATCTTCTTCTTTCCCACTGACCAAGTGAAAGATCTGGCACCAGGAGGATGGCTTTATGGAAAGACTGAGGAAGAACTCTCGCAGACGCCATTGAAAAGTTCAACGAACATTAAACTACGGTACTCTAGCTAAATAGCTCCTCCGCCGCAGGTTTGCGCTCCATGAAGCAACCAGCAGCAAGAGCGCTGCGGCAGCGCACGGCACACGACCACGGGGAGCGAAGAGGAAGCCGTGTGACCACATGGCTCTGGCCCCGGCCACCATATCTCAGGGATTTTCTCCACGACGATCGACTCACTCCGCCGCCAGCTTCGCCCTCGCGTCCACTCGTGTACAGGTTCACACTGGAGAGACTACGGCCGCCAAAGGCATCTGGAGGAGGCAAACGCTCTGTGACCGAAAGGGTGGACTAATTAACGTTTTGAACTATAGAGTTGTGTAGGTTCACCTTGTTCCCCTCTCTTGGTGATAAGTACTGGGTCGGCGGCTCTGAGTTGTGGTCTCCTGACATGGGAAACATTGATAAAGAACGCTGGTTAACAGTGCATTCGCGGTATCCGGAAATAGCCCTCCATACCTCAGGTATTAGCATAAGTCCCCCACCACACAAACCTA